AAATATAAACAATGCTCTGTTGACCCTACCTTCTTTCATAAGAAATTAGGTAATCATTTAATGTTCGTTCAAATTTATGTTGATAATATCATTTTCGGTTCTACTTGTCTTGATTTCACTGATGAATTTTGTAAATTGATGGAAACAAAAATTGAAATGAGTGTTATGGGTCCAATTAAATTTTTCCCTTGGTTTAAATATTAGACAGAATTCAGAGGGAATTTTCATCAATCAAGAAGCGTTCACAAAGACTTTACTTGCTAAATTTGCTATGAATGGTGAATCGAAGGTTAAAGTTCCGATGGCTTTTGGCACGAAGCTCACTCCTTTGCTTGAAAAACCTGCAACATATATTACTCTATATAGACAGATGATTGGTTCTTTATTATAAATAACGTCTAGTCGTCCTGATAATATGTTTGCAGTTTGCTACTGTTCGAGATTTCAAGCGAATCCAAGCGAACCACACGTGATGGCTTTAAAGAATATTTTCCGATATCTTCGTAAGACTACTTCTCTTGGATTATGGCATCCTTTTAACTCCGGATTTTTTTGTTTTTGCATACTATGATGCTGATCTCGGAGGTTTTGGTCTTGATCGCAAAAGTACATCTAGTGGATGTCAGTTCTTGGACGGAAAACTGGTCAGCTGGCAATCAAGGAAACAAATCTGCATATCTTTATCAACTGCAGTAGCTGAATATATTGCAGCAGCATCGTGTACTTTCCAAATTCTCTGAAAGTGCCATACATATTTATTTGTCATAACCCTGTTGAACATGAAAAAAATTCCCTCATACGGTGACTCTGAAAGTGTCATACATATTTGTCATAACCCTGTTCAACATTCAAAGACAAAGCACATTGCGTTACAATATCATTTTATATAAGATCATGTTGAAGATGAAAACGTTGAAGTGCATTTCGTGCGATCTGAGAATCAACTGGCGGATATTTTCATGAAAGCTTTACCAGAAATAATATTTTACAGAATTCTGCATGGACTTGGGATGATGGATGCATAATTAGTTCCAAAATCCTATCCCTGAAGTTACGAAAAGATCACTGTTCACCTGCGATGCGCTGTAATTTTCACAATCTTTCGCACTTTAGGTTATCACAACATACTTAGATGCGAGAAGATGTGATCTTTCATAGACCGGTGCTCTGGGTATTTGTCTTTTGTTTTTCAAAAACATTCAAAAATCCAAAAGATTTTTTATTTTTGTCTTTTGTTTTTCAAAAACAATCAAAAATCCAAAAAGTTTTTTTTATTTTTGTCTTTTATTTTTCAAAAACATTTAAAAAAAAACAAAAATATTTTTTATTTTTGTCTTTAGTTTTTCAACAACTTTCATAAACCCAAAAAGATTTTTCTTTACTTTTTTTATGTATTTGTTGGCATGTCTATTCTCTCGGGGATCAATTGTTATTCTTGTTCGCATTAGTTAGGTGTCCCTAGAAGCATACTGCAACATGGTTTCTAAAGTCTCAAAGATTCTTTGTTTACGAAAAGGCCTTAATGAAATTTCTTGTCTTAAGGATTTCTTCCCAATAGGCCATATTAACAAAAATCATCGAGCAACCTATCTCTCCCCATTTCGGAGTTTTTATTGATTTCTGCTTGGTCAATATTTCGTAGCAGAGGTACTATATTTCTTTTCACCAATCTTGGAAACCGATGATGTCTTGGATATATACAAATCCTAACATAGGGTTCTTATCTAAACCTTAGTAAATTGACGGAAATTCCAACAATTATTTTTGATTTACCCTTGGTCTTTCGAGTAAATACCAAGTCGAAGTTAGGTTTCTCAAAAATGGTTTTTATGATCATTTTTATTGTTAACTTCAGAATGTGAAAGACTCGTTTTTCTTATCCAACCTTATAGTTCTTACACAATGCACACACTATGATGCATATCCCAAGACATCTCTAGTCTAAAACAACTAGGATGTAGGTGTACAAAAATTCTGTGTCATGATCTCTTGGTCAGTATTACCATGATCTTGGTGAAACCCAATAAACATTTCCTAAAATGAATTGACGGTGAACATTTTTGTTCTAGACTGAAACTAAGGAATTGACGGTTGAAATTCTTATATTTCGCAATGCCATATCTTTTAATGTTCAAAATCTCTTAATTTCCGTTTGCGAGATCTTAATGAGATTAATTGATTCCAAATTAATTTCTTCCCTATAAGATCCAATTTTTATTTTCAAATTATGATATTTCCGTCTGAACATTTTCTTATCTCGATGTTACTTTCCAATATCTATAGTGTTTTTGTTGAACTTGATCTTCGATACACTGGTCAATCAAGTTTTTCCTTTCAAATCTGAGCACTTATGTTAAGTTGCTTCTATGATCGAAAATGATCCGACCCATTTAACCTATGAAAAGATGCCTTTCGTAACTTGTTAACAAGATGACGATCGTAATTCAATGGGAAACCACACACACACTTCTTAGTCTCTCTTGACTATTGAAGGAAGAGAATATGTGCCCGAAATCTAACTGCTTTTATATCAAAGATTCTTTGACATCACTACTTATCCATTTTTAATTTGCTTCTATCTTTTGATTTGTTACACTTTTGCACTGAAATCTTTGATTTCTCAAAACTTTGGGTTCTATTTTGTGGTTAAAATCTCAATGTGTTTGTCAAAACAATCATGGTCGTAATTCCAATGGATACCATTTCAATTTGGAAAATTGAAGGGTGGATCATCGATTGCGAAACTGCTGCAAATCGCAAAGGCATGTTTCTTTTGGCGTGTATTCAAAGGGTCTGACATTGTACTGTTCAATAAATGTCGATTCAAGTTTAGCAAAGAGCTTTAATGAGGTGACAATGTTATATTGATTCATTATGTTTGTAATGATTGGAATTATTCCATTTGCTTACATCAGAGACGTCAAAACATTTAATGCGTGGTGGCGGGTTTTCTCTCTCCAATTCTATAAACGGTTCAAATTTAAATCCCACACCTTTTTCACCGGTTAAAAACCCTAACTGTTCATCATCTTTCTTTCTACACTCAAAACCCTAACCAGTTACAGATGATTTTTTGCCTCAAATCTCATGGCTTCTTTTGATCGTATCTCTTTCATGGACCAATCTTCTTCATCTTCACTGTTGAATATCAAGTTAAATAAGAATATAGTGGTTGTTCTCGATCCAATGAAGTATTCTCAAGTTGTTCAACCTCTAATTGTTTGCTTGGATCATTCTATACTGAAGAAATCTCTGGTTTTGGTTGAAGATGTTCCACTTTCTCAGCTATCGTTGGCATACTCCACTGCAAGTTACAATCAGAAGATGGAGGTTATGAAGTTTGAAATCCAAGGTGTGAAGACATCTATTTCCAAATCTAATTTCTGTAAGCTGTTATGGCTTTCAACTGCTGAAGATTTGATTGCTACAGACAACATTTCTGCGTCAACTATTATTCAGGCTTATCATCAAATGGGGTACAACTCTGATTTATCAGTTATTTCTCGATTTAAGAAGGATTCACTTCCTCCCATTTGGAATGCATTATTTACGATAATGTTCAAATGCTTTTCTGAGCAATCAACTGGTTCTGATAATGCTATTCGATTATTTCACACGTTGTTATATGGAATTTATTTTGGAGAAAAGATTGATTTTGGAGCCATATTATGGGATCAATTTTTTCAATGTATTTATTCAAAAACAAAGGATACTGAAATTTCATGTGCTCGATTTTGGTCCATTGTGGTGAGGAATGCTATGCTCCATTATCATATTCCATAGGTGCAAGATGTTGTGATCGCTGATATTCCCAAAATGCAAACAACAACATTCGTTTTTTGATCCTGTTTCTCAGCTTTCAACCAAACCTGTTGAGATTCCTATTTTTACTGAGGCAACTTCTGTATCTCAAACCACAATTTATACAGAACCTCCACCAGAGACTTCTACTGTCGAATCCTATAGGGAGGAGAATAGAACCTCAGGCATCCCTGCTAACACATCTGATGTGGGGCCAAATGTCAATATTTGTGAAAACTTGTCTCAATCACATGTGTCTGCACCAGAATTCACCTCTACTCCACCTGTTACCGATGATGGTGAAGAAGAAATTATCATGAAAGATGATTCTGAATCTAATGATGAGTTTGTTGCAACTAATTTTGTGTTTCAAGTTGAAAGTGATCATGATGATGATGATCCTCCAATGACGAAAGGAGATTTTTGCAAGCTGAACAATAAGTTAGATGAAAATCTTTCTTAGTCTTCTACTTTCATCAATACAAAGTATGAAGAACTGATCTCTTCTCATCAAGAAATAAATCAGAAGCTGGTTAAAGAAAATGCTGATAAGCTTTCTAAACATAAGAAGCTTGTTGATGATTCTGCTAAACTAGTCAAGGAAGCAATTTCACAAGTCTCAACGATTCTCACAGAAGTCATTTACAATCACATCCAAGCAATAGGCTTTCACGACTTCATTTCAAACATATTTTGATAAAAATGTTGCTGACATGAACAAGGTGACTCTTAGTTTTCGGACTTCATTACAAAATGAAAAAGAAGCTTTATCTGAACTTTGCTTTGGGATACAAAAAGTCAATGCTGATTATCACACATCCATAGCCAATTCCATTCTTACTCTGTAGACAAGTCAAGCTCATGAAAATAAAATAATGGATGATTTAGCCGATTCAACCACGAAGATTAAGGTTCTTAGGGAACAACTGAAATCTGTTGCTTTTGATCTTTGCAAAGGAAATGAAGAACTTTTGTTGGTAAAAGGGAAAAAAATTCAGATAAATCAACGCTTGGTTAAGATTGTTAAAACCAAAGTTGCTCCTTATGCAGATTACATTTCGCAGCTTATGGATGTAAACCTCAAGCCTATTCTTGCCAAATTGAATGATGTTACGAGTAGCAAGGCTACTTCACAACAAGGGGGAGATGAAGGGGTGTTTCCAGAAGTTAACATCAATAATCCTTACCAAACGGGTTCAATGGAAAAGAACAATGTGAAAATCCGTTTGGAGAAGCAATCTATGGAAGAAAAATTAAAGAATTTAAGGGAAAAGAAAACTGGCCAAAAGGGTAATGAAGCTTTTGGGTCAGGAAAAGGAAATGTGAAAATTGTTTCTGAAAAGATAGATGATTTGAATCCTCCATTGACAAAGGAACAACAAGCTGATCAAGAAAAGTGTGATGAATTACTAAATGAGCTTAATGATTTGAATGCAAAGCTTAATGCAGAGGAAGCTGAAAAGAAGAATGCAAAAGATATTCTAGCGAACAAGAAAGATTTATTTCCTCCATGGTCAATTGAAATATTCGAAGAAGAAGCTCTCAACAGTCCAAAGCTCTATTGGTTAGAACCTCAAACATCTTTCTCTATTGATAACGATGTTAATTATCAGATGGATTTTCCTATCACTATGAAAGCCTTCCAGTTTCGTTGCTTTGAGAACGTTTAGAATATGCCTATGGGGAATACAACAATACATCGAAAGTTGTTCACTTTTTACGTGAAGCGTTCAAAACCACAATATGAATCATGAAACATCAAGAAGATTGTTGGTTTGAAATATGGAAAGTCAGAAAAGGTTGATGATTTTGTCAACATTCATATCAAGGCAGTTCGTGGTAATAAGAATGAAACCGGTGAGTTTACTTTTGTTGATCTTCCTCTGATGAATCCTTTTGATTGGGTTTCAATTCTCAATATTGTTTCAAGAGAGCCTATCACGTATGAACCTATTTGTTCGCATATGAAGAGGTTGTTAAAAGCATATATCATTGAAATTGTGAAGATGGATATTGAGATCTCATCAGTTTTGAATAAAACACCGATTGTGAAGCCAATGGAACCTCCTGAAAATCTTGATTCGATGAAGGCTGGATTTATTGAGAATGGGAATTGGGGAGTGTTTTTCAAATTGAAATAAAATGAAGTTCCGAAGAAGTGTATGATTTATTTGATCGATAAGCACTTGTACTCTAATGATTTGAAGTGTGTTTCAGATATGATAAAATGTTGGATTGGAGTTCGTTCTTTTCTTTTGAAGACTATGCCAAAAGTGTTTGATTATGTGAAGAAACCTTAAGTAAATACAACTGAAGAAGACTGACACAAAGGGGGGGGGGGATTGTAGAGTTCGTAGTTTTATTGTGTCATCTTGTAATGTTTTGTTTGCAATGTCTTTACTTGGTGTGAGTTATGTTGCAATCTCGCACTTTTTTTTACCTTGAGTTCGCAACCTAGCTATTGTCTTGATATGCCTTTCTTTTATTCCTATGATTCCTATATGTAGGGATATTAGATAGAATAACGAGCAATAGTTGATAGGATAGAATAGTTCCTTCTTTGTATCGAATTGTTTTGATCTTTCTCGTTAATGAAAATGAAATCTTATTTAAATCGTGTGTTCTTGTGAATATCATCGTTGTTTGATTTGTGAATATAAAAGTTCTTTTAGTTTGTTAAAAGTTTAGACATGTATGTATGCTTATTAGGTGTTGATGGTGTAATTCACCCAAAAGGCCGGAGCAGGGAAGAAGGAGTAGTAGTCTATCCTAATCAACTTACGATGAGTACAAGTGGATTTTCTGGGCACGTAGCAAAGTAAATATTTTCGTGTGAAAAATGTGAATACGTCGCTAGGTGTGACAAATTGATTATATGAAAAGTGTTTTTATCGTTAAAGATTAAATTATATAATTCCACATCTTCCCCAGTTAAGGAAAAAAGGATATTTTTGGTTATTTGTTAAATTGTCAAATTGTATATATTGTAGTTGGGCGATGAGAGCTCTGGATGAACTCAACAACCATGCAATTACTTATGGATGAGTTTGGAAACATCCTATATGTGAATTGCTTTATGAAATCTATAGAGAGTTGTTGGAGGTAAGAAGCCTATCTATGTATTTGTTTTGAAAGCTTTAAGGAAGGATATTGAGAGAAGGCATGAAATGTTTATGCAATCGAAGAAAGGAATAAAGTGAATTATTAATTTGGAATTTGTAGCTCTATGAAGAGCATGCGTGAAAGGCTCAAAATTTCTTATTGGTTCCCAGTATCAAACTATCATGGATCAACATGATTCTGATGGATTATTGCGTCAGGTTTGCTTGTAGCGACATGGACCTGTCTTGGATTAGTCCCTAACGATGGGACATATGTGTAACCTGAATGGGTTACCGCTGGCCCAGTTGATTCATTCTTCTGTTGGACGTACTTTCTGAAGGGTTTTGAGCATTCTAACACTCCTATGGTGTACATGCAACCCTATAAACCTTGGATCTATGTTTTCTCTAATTTTACATGCAATTATTCAGTATTCCAAGGTTTCATCCTAACTAGCATAATATGAAGTATATACAATACAAGAATCTAGTATAATGACATACCTTTTGATGGAGCTTGTAGTCTTGAACCTTTAAGAGCTTAGCCCCAATAGTATGAAAGCCTCAAATGGAATCACACATCACCAAAAGCACTTGGAAAACTTGAGAGAATAGAAATCATTTCTAGAAATCGGCACACCCTTTGTACTCACACACTAGTGCCATTTCATGTGCCAAAGACCTCTTTATATAGTATGGAGGATTAGGGTTACATTCATGTAAACCCTAATACCCATGACCTTTCATTTCCATAGGATCCATGGGTTAAAAACTCCATGGACTATCCATGCTAGTTTAGCCCAGCCTAATTGAACTTGGCCCATTCTATATATATAAGAGTCCATATTTAATTAGTTCCTTTTGATCACTAAATTAATTCTTGATCGATACTAATTAAATAATATGATTTCATTTAATATATTATAACTTATAAATATATTAATAAATCATAAATATAGTATTCTCAAAAGATTATCCATACAAATTGTTTCGGTGAAGTGCAACCCAAATGGGCCATGCTACTCTCAGGTCGAGTACATACCAATAATAGTTATGGGCTTAGACATCTAATCCAACACTTTCCAGGATTCTACTTTGTAAGATTTATGTGCCACAGTTTTTATGTAAAGAATAATTTAAAATATATATAAAATAAAGAAAAGATAGAGAGTCTGTGTCAAACCTATGTGTCACACCCCAAAACAGGAACGACGGAAACGTTCTGGGGCAGAGGACGTCATGTTTAGTATCGCAAGACATGCATCATAGTAAGCAAAGTAATAAACAACCATTTCATTAGAAATAAAGTGTTTACAAAGTATGTGATTCACATAATATAGAATACATAGCAAATAACAAAAAGACATGAAGCTATACTGCTCCATCTTCTGAATCCCAGTGCGCGAACCTGTCTACTGGTCTCCTGAGAATACAAGTTATTTTGAAAGCGTAGATCAGCATTTAAGCTGGTGAGTTCATAAGATTTTAGTGATGTAGTAAGTAGTAAGAAAGTTTGTAGAAAGTTGTAGTAAGTTGTAGTAAGTTCTTGTTTAGAAAAGTTTGCCTGTTCCTCCAGAAAATCCTATATTTCCTGCCTTGATGAAAGATAAGTAAAAATGACTCTACAGTCCTTTCTATGAGTATTAAATGGATACAAGTTATATAAAACCCAGAGTAAACAAACAATCGGTTGTGTGTATCTGCCCTAAGCCCACAACCAAACAAGGAACAGGAAATGAGGCGGAAGACACACATCCCATTTCCGATTTCCGATTTCCGATTTATGAGACATGGATTATAATCATTCTCTCTATCTATCTGTTGTTTCCCGATTTCCAATTTATGACGACCGACTAATTGAACAAATCAAATCAGTCCAGGCTTGGCCAAGGACTTAGGGGAGTCATCACTAAATCATCGAGGGGCCCATAGATATCGCTTTTATCCCTCCAAGGGTAAAAGGAATGGATAAACTTTGAGCCAAGTGTTCGCTTGTACTTACTCATCAAATTACACACAACGATATGTTTTATAACAATCAAGTTACTAGTTGTGTTTACATATGTCAATGTGCAACCGACGCGCAAATACAAATCACACGTCTCTATTTGAAGAATATAAGATATTATTGTCTCATGATTCACTCGTGATAAAATCCATGAAGTGATTCAAATGAGCGTGGGTTGAATCCAATACTCGAATCTCATTCCAGGAGCACTCATGAACACTGCAGCCACTTTGTCCTACACAAACTATAGACCCTTCATGACAGTCTTGCCTCAATACCTACTTCCAAAGTATGATCGACTGTGGATAGTTTGAATAACCTAGTTATTCGGGAAGTCAAAACATGCAAAGTGAAACACAAGAATAATCGAATCCAATATGGTCTCAGAACTTATGAATATAAATAAAACACCTTTTATTTATCACCATATTGATTACACATTATTCATTGCATAATGTTTCAAATAATCAACTTAATACTTGAATTAAAACAATAGTGATGCCATGCTCCAAGCATGCACACTATGTTTGTCCAAATAATAGTTATGCCACATACCAAGTATGCACACTATATTTGTCTATGATCCTTACTTTGTGGAATAGATCAATTGAACATAATTCCAATGATTCTCATTTCACAATCCCAAATCCTTATCGTAAATGTAAGAATTCCAATTTCCTGCCATTTACCAAAATCTGTCAGATTCTAAACTCATATGCATTGATCCTCTTGTAATGACTATGCACAAAGTCACAAAGACTTGGAAACAGACATTACAAAGTATTCCAATGGAGATCAATTCCATGGAAACAATGTCTCAAATTTAAGATACATTACTTTGAACATCCTTCTTGCATTAAGTTTTCTAATCTCACACAGATTGAATAAATTCCACCTATGGAGACATTTCCATATTCCCATTTTGACTATCACTTCTGAACAAGAGTTGCCTCTTTTTAGAATATGTCAGTATGGTCCTTTCCAAAAATTTACACCATACTTCCAACTATCCATGCGCAACCAATCTTTGGTAAAACCTCAGATTGTCCTTAACAATTGTTTAATCATTTTAGTCATATCCAATTCTAGGCCTTTTCCCCTCTTAATGCCCTAGGCATTAGGAAAATTTAGAAAGGATAAATATTATAGCACATGTAATCGATCCTATATCCGAAGCATATGGGACACGATTCATGATGTCTCACATAAAGACATGATCCTAGACCAGTCTTTTGCTACAATATTTTTTATTTGTCATGTTTTCATAATTTGACTATGAAGAGGGATGTCGTAATCATAATCGACTTTGAGAACGCAATATATATAGAATTTCCTTATGTTGAACCATTCCAACATAAAATTCACATATATATCCTTGACTAAAGATGATTAAAATCTCAATCTAAGCTTTTAGAATTAAAATGAAGTATAATTTCCTCTCCCTTAATTATAGCAAAACAACTTACCCCAATTGAAAGTTTTGTTTTCTGTAATTAACATTGCTAACTTGCAACACTTATCATAATTGATTATGCTCCCACTAGCATAATAATTACTAGCA